TGACTTCCAGTTACTTGAAAACCATCGTAACATGCAAGATAACCGATGTCGAATGAAGATGTTGAATGCCATGGGGGTCACCGGTGACCCTCGACCAAATAGAATTACTATAGTTCACTCGACGAAACGACGATCATATGAAAACATTTCTATAAATAATGCTACATAATACAGTGACGTTCAGCTAGGTGAACGTGGAATAGTAATAATGCAATTCGATCGAATGATTTAATGTTACATCTATTCCATTCTGTGTATTTCCCTCTGTGAAGTCGTGCGGCGTTCAATGTGTTAACGTAACGAAATTGATAACAGATTAATGATTCTTTGCTACAGAAGAATAACTCTACGAAAAAACGGCCAAGATCTTCGTGGCGCTTAACGTGTTAATGTTTCAGAGTGTAATCGACTCGGTTTCCTGAAACGATCGTTGACATTACGAAATGAACGTTTGCTCGTTCCAGAGGAAATGTCGGGAATTGAAGGTGACGGTGGAAACGGAGGGAAATTCGGGGAGTACGCAAAGATTCTGCGTCTCGTTTTCGAAAGATGGATATCGATCCGCGGACAGCTTCGCGACGAGAAGTTGAACGAAGAAGCGGAGGAATTGATTTTGCCGAGTAACGAAGATTGGCGGCAACGCGTTTACTACGGATTAGTCGAGTTACAGAGGGAATGCGATGCGGAGGTAGCGACGAATAGGTAATAATAGGACGAATAGGTGTTACCTACGGTCAAGTGTTCCGATGCCGATCGTTTCCCGAAAGTAGTCTCAACACGTTGACTGCCGCGAGAACTTCTAGCGTTTTGAATGGTAATGCTTATTCCATAACAAAGGCAAATGATATTGAAAGCAATTATTCATGGTTTAGTATCACAGTAGTCATATCACGCTACCATCTAGCTACTTGCTAAAGATTTTTATTTAAAATCACATTTTTTATCGTAATTGTTCTTCGGCAATTTGGATCCGATCATCGATGACCACCGCGGCAGTCAACGCGTCAGTTTTGGCAGGGAATATGATTCGTTTGTCGATTCAACGTCGCGAAATCGATGAAGTCCCGGGTCAAAAACATTTGGCACCGCACGATAGAAACACGTGAACAGCGAAATGTAACCTTGTTCCTTTTCTCTTTTCCGTATTCATTCGTTTCATCGACGAAATGAATCGTACTGATCTGTACCGAGATTCTAAACGACGAAGCAGTGAGTAAAGATTGCGTGGATTGCGAGCGATTCAACGGAAAAATGTATTGATTGTACGCTCGCGAAGGGTTGGCGAGGTTGCACCGACAATGGAATTTGAGAAGAATAAGGAGATAGACGAGGAGAAGGAAGAGGAGGGAGAGAAGAAGAGGAACATAGAAAAAGAGACAGGAAGAGAGGAAGAGACCGAGAAGAAATGGAAAGCAGCGGACAAGTCCCGCGACTCGGAATGGGATCCGCAAGTGCATGGATCGTTGGTACCAAAGACGAAGGAAAGTGGTAGCATCGACGAATCGAAAGGATCGGAGACGAGTGTCGGTCGAGTCTCCGGTTCGATGACGGAAGCTTGCGTGAAACCGGGATGGCGCGTGAACGATATCATTTCAGCCGCGAAGGTTCTTCAAGGAGATTCGACGTCCCTCGTGTATTCCGACGAAGCAGAGATGCGTCGAGTGTTCGGACTCGTTTACGATGTGCTTAGGTGTAAGTTGATCATGCTCCGTCGATCTCTGTCCGCGTATCCTTGTAAGTACTTTTACACTTGCAGACAAGAAGATTTTCATTCGTTCCCTGGAGGAGGTGGGATTTTGGCAGCGTAACGGCGCGCTGAAAAATCGACGGAAGATCGTCTGGTTGTTACTGTACGACATGCAAGGGAGGAAATTCTCGAGACGCGGCGAGATCGCCGCCGTCGAGGAACGCGAAAGAGTTTTTCAGGTAAAAGAGGAACGAAACAACGTGGTCGTGTACCGTTTCTGTGCTGTTTCAAAGTCGCCGTTCCTTTCTTTGCAACGGCGTCCGTTAGACCGCCGGATTGATGGACATCGAAGCAGCCCTGTTGGAGTCGAAAACTCATCTCGCCGCGAGCATCTCACGACTGCGTATTCGTGGATCGGCACTTACCCTCGGTGACTAGACTCGTAGATTTTACTGTAGACACCAGTGGCGGCTCGCGTATCGGCACTGTGAAACCGTTGCACCTCTAATTTCCGCTTGATATCGATAACACTTAACATAAGTCCCTTTTTCTTTAATCCTTTCTTTATACTTGTACAATATATAATCCTTAAGCTTAACACTAGAACTATCAGATGGGCAAAAATCACTTATTTCTGATTTCTTTTGCAATCACTGAAAAGGCACAGATTCTACGAAAAATGATTAACGAGGCAAATTCAGTAATAGCAAAACTGAAGTACAACTCAATTGAAATCTTAGTAAATGCTCGCTCATGATTTTTATAAAGAAATTTGTGAGAGTCAGTTTAAGTGATTCGGTAGTTCTAGTGTTAACGTCGGTATCCCCCAGTTTATGAGAAAGATACAAACATTTTAAAACGAAGGCTACAAATTATCCGGAGCAGCATCCCCACTAATTTTAGCTACGAGCCGCCATTAGACACCGTGTTTCATTTGATTCGATCGGGTGCGTTTCAACGTATGACAAATAGAGAAGCAAAGAGAATAGCACGCGGTAACGATCGAGACTGCGGTAGAGTCGCGAGTATGTCTATATCTGTAATGATAATTTGTACCGTAAAAGATAAAATGTAGTCTGTGTCGTGATCGTAACGGTGGGAAACGTGATACGAAGGCGAGCTGCTGCCGGCGCGTTTGCGGGTCATCGAAGGCGTCGCTTGGGGTGGAAAGTTGGAGACCGCAGCGTTCGCTTCCGGATGGGTAAACTCGAATAAGTTTGCGAACAAGCAACGGTTCCTGGAAGAGATGTCCACGCTGAATCTGGTCCTCTGCGAAGACGGAGACGTAACGGAGATGAGCGATACCGGTTTCGCGTTCCATTCGATTTGCCCGAAGGTTGTCGAATTGCACGAGGAACTGCGCGAAACCTTGGCCCGTTCCACCCTAGTGCGTGATCATCGTTTCGTCTTTCTGGTGGGTAGCGACTATTCGTCGTTTGGATTCCATTCGAGCGAATCGAATCGAGTCGGATCCGATCGATTTCGAAATTCCTCGTCATTTAACCTTTTAGCTACCGGGCTAGCCGTGAAGTTATACCATTACACGGCGAGGTTTGACGCGGTTTGCGTACTGTAAATGTAATGTCACTGCGATTTGAGATTGATTAGACTATAATTAGATTAGACTGTAATTGCGCACAACTATCGATGACAGTTGTTCAAAAAGATGGTATACACAAGAGCTATTTATATGCTAGTACAGTAGCTAAAAGATTGAATTAACCCGTTGCACCCGGAAGTTTTTAACTAGAAATATTTGAACATTTTCTGATGAGATAAAGATGATATTTTGTGAAACTAACTCGAAGATAAATCACACTTACATTGAGGAGCAAAGCTATTTTATTTCAATATTTCTGAAATTGATATTGAACTACCAGATGGACCAAATTGACTCGTTCCTACATTCCTCTTTCCCAATGATTAAAAACATAACACATGCTCCATTACAGAATCAGTAAAGAAGTTGTTTTAGTAATACTCGAACTGAATCATAAGTCAATTGAAATCTCAGTAGCTATTCTTAGAGTTTCTATAGACAAATTTTGAAATGCCATTTGACTGCTCGGTAGTTCTAGTGTTAAATATCAAATTTTATAGCTTCACTGTATGAAATCAAGTGGTGAGTGAGAGTCACCACTCTATCAAGAAGATCAAAAAGCTATTAAATATGATATTTAATATAGAACTGTGTATAGTGCATCGATGTGTGAAATATTGGGATAAAAAAGCTTCGTTCCTCAATTCACTTGTGATTTCTTTGAGTCAGCTTCAAAAAATATCGTCTTCCAGTTAGAAAACGTTAAGTATTTCCAACGAAATACTTCCGAATGCAAATGATTAACACATCGCGTCCCGGTAAAGAGAAATCTCGTTTCTATATAAAAACACTTAGCTATGCAATTTCGCTAATTACCACAGCATTGAAAAAATATAAAATTTAATTCGGATGTGATCATCTATTTAAAATACATTACATAACAATATATCTAAGTTTTTCTATGTATAGCGATATAAGTTGACCTCAGTGAAAATTGCCATCCGCACAATTCAGTTTTCTGAAAATTAACCGGTACCCAATATGTTAAGTTGTATCATCGATACGCCGATTTACATAAATAACCGTACGATGCGCGATAGGAAAAATCGCTATGCTTCGGTGCAGCGGCTGTCGCGCGAGCCATGCGCGTTGGTCGTTTCTGCGGCCCGGTAGTATTGACGCACGCCCTTGCGCCTCGACATACCGGTTACCTGGCGGAACTACTCCGAGACATCGAGGATGCCGGTCGGCTGTTGGCTTTCGGCGCTGGTGAACGTCGCCGCGAGTACGAGTCGTATTTGAACGAGCTCGGCGTTACCTCGCAGCGATGTCGCGTATTCTCGGAGAAGTATGCTCGCGTTCCTTCCTTTCCCTATTCTCTGTTATCGGTCGTTCTGAAAGAATGCGCTTCGCCATCCGTCCAGGTACGTCTCACCTCCAGCGACGTCCGAATTGGAGAGAGCCACCGTGGTCTTGGCGATTCCGCCGTGCAGTTACACCGGTGTCAGAGACATCGTCGATCTCGCCGTGGCTCGTGGCGGAGACACGGATCTACTCGAGTCGCTGACGGACGCTTACACCGCGGACGACGGCGACGGCGATGCTCGCGAGTCCGATCGGTCGCGATCTCCGCACCTGGCCGATCAAATGTCCACTCTAAAGCACGCGTTGACCAGGCCGAACGTTCAATTCGTTATATACGAGGCGCACACGATCTTACCCTCGGAAACGACGGAGATGATCCGGAGGGTAGTCGATTACGCGAATCGAATGGCCGTGGCGAGACACGTTCGCGATCAATCGGTAAGGCGTTCGTTTCTTCCATTCCTCCGCGTTCCCCTGCGTTCTCGCGCGGTTCGTTTTCCCCCGATACAACGAATACACTTAACCCTTTGCACTTGAGAGACGATTAGTCGACATGTGATTTGATACGAAATTGTCAACTTTGGTATTCACCGGTAACCTTTGTGTGATGCATCGATGCGTGAAATATTGGAAGAAAGTAGTTTTATTGCCTAATGTAAGTTGGAATTCTTGATAATAGGAAAAATTCTTGTGTATATCTAATTAGGAAGTATTGAATATTTTACATGAGAAACTCCCGAGTGCAGAGGGTTGACAGTACCACCAAGCGGTCAAACTGTCTTTGAAATTTCCCTGTAGAAACTAAATGGCGCAACTATTGAGACTTGATTTGCAGTTTCTGTATTACTAAATTGATTTCTCTAGTAACTTCTCAGAGAAGCGTTATCTTTTCGATAACTGGAAAAAGAGAAATCATGAATGGTCATTTTGACCCATCCGGTAGTTCTAGTGTTAACACGTTTCGTACCGTTTTTTTAAGACCTTCCGTATACGACCCACATCTTTACAACGAAATAAAATTAAATAAACGCAGTATACACGATATTAAGGTGCCTATGTTTGTGTCTGCAACATATTTTTAAAAAATTCTTCGTTTTTCAATGAGAATTCCAAGCGGCTGAACGGACAGTTCAGCGTGGGTCGTGCATGCCGGCACGGAGCGTGTTAATGCTTATTTGGTTCAATTATTTTTTCGCTTGCTTTCAGTCGAAGAAGAAACCACCGAAGGAAGCTGGAGAATCTCGTGAGTCGGAGAAACTGGAGCAAGCGAAGGAACCGAGAGGCGATGAGGATCGAGCGGCAGTGACCGTATCCGCGAACTTTGCCGTAAGATTTCCGATCGATTAACCCCTTGCCATATTATTTACTTTTGCCACTAAGCTCGTGCTAAGGATTTCTACCAACAATTTAGAAGAAACGCAAGGAAATTGTCCATTCCAAGTACAAATTTACTTCGAAGATAATACATTGGTAATAGCAAAACAGTTTTTCGCTTTGATCCATGCACATTGAACGACATCGATGTTTATTAAACTAGTCTCGAAATCTTCATCACGATTCTCTGATGATTGTACGGCAGTTTCCCAACGTGTGACCGTCACCCTACAAGGGAGCAATTTGATTTTTAAGGGGGGCAATTTGAAATTTGAAATATCACTTCGTATATTTCACAATATTTACGCACGTAAACAAAATTATAAAAATATTATAATATAATATTAACCCTTTGCACTCGACAATATTTTTCGCAACTAATGCGGTTGCTTATCTTATATAAATTAAGGGACAGAACTATTTTATATTTCGATGTTTTATGCGTTGATACACGTGCTTTAATATTGAATTTAAAATTTTATAAGTTCGCTGCGTCGAATCGGGTGGCGACTGAAACGCGCCTCTCGAGTGCAAAGGGTTAAATGTTATATGTTACATAGGGGTGCATAAGAATTTTGGAAAGGTTTAGTTTGGGCATGGCACAGAAAAGGTTGGTAAACACCATATGGCAAGGGGTTAAACATTTCAACGAAATCGAAGGTTCCGGACAGCGACCTCTTCGAGGTGGGCACGATCGACGATATTTACGGGGAGAACGTTAGCCGCGCGTTGGATCCTGGATGCTTTCTCGCTGTGATAAGGAGAAAGGAGATGATGCAGTTCGATTCGTTGTTCATGATCAAAGTGGCCGAGTCGAAAGGATTGTTCGGCGATCCGAACGAACGCCGAGAAAGAAAGCGCGAATCGGTCCCGGTCGACCGGCCAGCCAGACCGCCATCTTTGCCCAGTCCTCGCAAACGGACCAAACGATTCGAGAAGGTATTAGGAGCGGATCCTTTCTATGCGAGGAATTTGCGAACTCCTCTGGCCTTCTTTCCGATAGATCGAGCTGGAACGACTGATGGCGCACACGCACTGTTCCTTGACGAGAACCTTGAACGAACATCCGGTCTGTTCCCGGCAGGAGCGAGCGCGGCGAGCCTCGAAGGAGAGGAACGAGTCGCGGGTACGCGAAATGGGGGATATCGATAAGCACGGTTATCGTCGTCGTCGCAGGAAATACGCGGCCACGCTCGTGAACGTGTCTTTCGACGGCGTTCTCGCGTGCGAATCGACGAACGCTTGATAGGTTTCTCGCGTACGCTCGCAGGAATTAAAGGGGTTCAGGCGCGATGAGAACTCGCGTAACCAGGCTCGAGGGAACGCAAACCGGCGGAGCATACGCGTTTGCAGCCAGACCTTTTCCTTTTCTTCGTACAACAAGGGAGAAACGGACGAAAGGAAAAACGGGAAGGCAAGTACTCGGAAAAACCGCGAATCGAGAACGATTCACGCTATCATGGTTTCGTGGATTACCTTGAAGCAGGAGTCGCGAGTGATTCCTTCAGTGTGTTCAGCTCGCTCGGAAATCGACGCGCAGAGGCAGCGAGCAGCGTTTAAATCAGACTGGAGGTCCGCATCGTCCGACGTGTCGACTAGAGTCCGGGCAGCTTTCGCACGGTAATCGTTTCGATTCGATCCGATTTCTGCTTTACTTTCGAATAATCGATTCTCAAGGGTTATTCTGTGTATCTTACACGTTACCTTCAAACTCCGCTGCGAACTGTCGAGTTTCAAGGGACGATACGTTTGTACGTCGTGCAGAGGCGAACCGGAACACGCTGTCTCGTCGAAAACGGTTCTAAGGTCACCTATCCTGGCCCGTGCGCTGCAACCTATTCCATTGGAGAGCGACGTCGAGAATTGCTCCGAATCCGATCGGAGAAACGAAGGTTCGAGATGGACGAAGCATCGGTGATCGGTAGCGGTTGGGATCCGAGGAATCGTCCGAATCGAATCGACTTTCCCTTGCCAATCTCCGAAACTTACTATGCGTCGAGGTTTGTAGTTTACACAGGTTATCGAACGATCGAACCGATCGTTTCATACATTTGTTCGACGAAACGCTTACTCGATTGGATCTGAATCGAATAAAACGTTCAACGACAAATCTTGGTTTTTTTTCAGAAATATTCCTATTTCCTTCGGTTTTTATACATCTAGCGGCGGACAGATGATAAGTCGCCGACGCGTTTCCGAGTCGATAATAATTTCCAATGATTGCTCGACGTTTCGCAGAAATAGTTGATAGACAACCCTTCGTACCGGGATTGTTTATCGGTTTCCGCGTAGGTACAAACGTCCGTCTAGGTTCACGAGAATCCGTGAAAATATTTGAGCGAAGTAAGGGGGATAGGTGAGTTGCAGCAAAAAGATCGGTATCCAGTATCGCAGCTAAATTCGCGCAATGCGTGGCGATAATATGCATTTTCGCGTCAACCTTTGCCCGATCGGAAGCATCGAAGTCGAACAGAATTACAGGTTTCTAATATCTTTTTTTAAACGGACGAAGCTGAGTCGACAAATCGCGGAGTTCGAAGCGCGCGATCGATCTACACCGTTCGGCGAGTTATTTAAGCGGGCCTTGAACGAAGAATGCATCGTTTGCAACTGGTACGAGGTTACACGAATCGTCGCTGGCTTTTCTCCCTTCTTGGCAGGGGTATATCAAAGGAAATGACAGTCGAGACGGTAAGATTCGTCTCGTGTGTTGGTACCTACGTATACTTACGTATGTACTACATACTTATCGATGCAACGCGAATAAACGTTCGAACAATTTCTGATGGGAAGTAAGGTGAAGACACCAGTAATTGACCATTTTTCAGGAAAACGTAGGGAACAAGGTTTTTGAAAGTAATAATCTTTCGATGACCGACCCAACTCCGAAAAACTTTTACCTGAATTGAATCGTTAATCGTAGAAACTAGTAATTCATTGACGTTGGTTGCATGCCTCCAGGTTCCAACATGAAATCGACTTCTTTTCATTTGTATTTGTCCTTTTACTCGTGATTTGTCACAATCGTTGCGAATAAACGATATTGACACGTTGGATGCCACGGGGGTCATCGATGACCTCAATCAAATCGAATTACTATAATTCATTCGATTGAACGATGATTATTCGGAAACCTTTCTATATTATAAGTAATACCACCTAATGCAATGACATTCACCGAGATAAACTTGCAACAATAACGAAATTCAATTATATAAATTGATATTACATTATTCTCGTTTTCTATATTTCTCTCGGCAAAATCGTGCGGCGCTCAACGCGTTAATCGCCTTTAGTGGTTTTGGTGTTACTATAAGTGGTCAACTGCTGACTAACATATAGTCAATGCAATTTTCTCGTTTCAAAGGACGACCGAATTCCGGCGCGAGCATTGAATTTTCAAAAATGCCTACAATCTGGATAATACAGCCACCTCAAGAAAGTTCGCTTTCTTACGTAACGTAAGACGTTCGAACAGCACTTTCGCGCAGAGTCCCTCTACCTAATAATGGAGAATGCGTTTACCATTATTCACGCAGAACGGTTATCTCATCTGGCCAACTATTAGTGCTTTTACCTTACCGAACGCTATATCACGTTTATGAAAATTACACAGATTCGCCCGGTCTGTTTAGAAATACGAGCTGTACCGGTTAGACAAAGGGCCGGCGACGAGCGCGACGATGAACGAAGAGGAAGCCACTTACGCGCTGAAAACGATGAACTACATCAGACGAATAGAGAATAAAGCCGCGGAGTTGTACAGGGCGCGATTGATCAACGGTTTCCTTCATTTGTATTCCGGCCAGGTAGACCGTTTTCGATCGATCTAGTCCGGGCGCGAGGAAATAGCAGAAAGGAGACAATGCGGTTTGCAGGAGGCAGTGGCCGTGGGGATGAAAATGTCGATGGCCGGAGCGGATAGTTTGATCACAGCTTACAGGTGTCACGGATTCGCGGTGGTGTTCGGAGTGTCGGCACGGCAGGTTCTCGCGGAATTGATGGGTCGGCGGACTGGGATCTCGAAAGGGAAAGGTGGATCGATGCACATGTACGCGACAGGATTCTACGGCGGCGATGGGATCGTCGGCGGTCAAGTGCCGATCGGCGCCGGGTTGGGATTCGCTCATAAATACAACGGCACCGGCGGAGTCGCGTGGACGCTCTACGGCGACGGAGCGGCGTCCCAGGGTCAGGTTTACGAGGCGTACAATATGTCGAAACTTTGGAATCTGCCGGTAGTCTACGTCTGCGAGAACAATCAGTACGGAATGGGGACGGCGGCGCACAGGCACTCGGCGAATACAGCGTTTTACACTCGGGGAGATCTGATTCCAGGCGTGAAAGTGAACACCAACACCGCGATCGCGTCTACGCCCATTGTTTCTCGTCTGATTCCTAACGGAGCTAAGTAACCGATGTCACCGATTCCCAGGTGAACGGGATGAGCGTGCTCGATGTACGCGAGGCGGTGAAATTCGCCAGAGAACATGCTCTTCGAAACGGTCCCATCATCCTGGAAATGGACACGTACCGGTACTACGGACACAGTATGAGCGACCCGGGCACTTCTTACCGCACCAGGGACGAAACGAAGCGAGTTCAGGCGGAACAAGATCCCATCTCGACGCTCGCCGAACTTCTCGCGAAGAACGGCTTGAAAACCGAAAAGGAAATCGAGGCGAGCGTTCTACGTTTTCAATTTTTATTTCCATTCTCATTTTCGCCCTCATTTCTCTCGGCTGCTCCGTCCCACTCGGTATTACGTTATTCCTTATCAAACAGGAAATACGAAGCAGCGTTTGGAAGAAAGTGGACGAGGAACTGGAAGAGGCGAAATCGGACCCATTTCCGGAGCTGGCGGACATCGCGAAGCACGTATACGCGAATCCGTTAACGAAAACGCGAGGCAAGGTACCTTGGCAAATTCATTGAAGACATGGAAACCCGGCCGTTTTCGTCGCGTTAAAATCTTCCTGTGTTCTCGGAAACCGATTGGTTAAATAAATCACACTTCGGCTGGAATCGGTGGACTCTGATTCGATTCGCGACGAAGGAACGTTGATCTCGTTCGATCCTCGTACCCGACGAGCGAAAGAAAACAATGAGAGAAACGGCAGGCGATGGAATGCAAACTTGCCGTTTGTTTCCCGGTGTGCTCTTACATTGGTACGTCAATTGGTGCGATCAATTAAGACGTCGTTTGGGTCGCGCTCGCGGCCGAAAGACCGCAGATAGAAGGACGGAGTGAACGCGACGAGGACGGAAGCTCGTCGCCGCAGAGAGACGCACGGCCGAAAAGAATGAGTCAGTCGCGGCCGGTTGGATGGGGCAACGCTTAAGGGCAAGGCGGCGAGGCGATAGATTCCAAGGAAGAGCGACGGCGATGACAACAGTCTTTGCGGGAGTCGGATTGGACTCGACTCGACGAGACTCGACGAGACGCCGCGACCCGCCTCGCCGAGACTCGAATCGTCTTCCGTTGCTCCCACGTGCGACGTTGCTCGTTGAATCTTAACGAGGGAACATCGGAGCATTCTCGCGAGTCGCCGCCCGATAAACGTTATCGCGATAAAGTGCCCGATAAAACTAGTGGACAAACTTAGAAAAGTTCGCCGGGAGTTGGATAAGTTTGAAATGGTCGACTTTCGGTCCGCGTCGCGCTTCGATCGAAGGGAAGGATCATTCACCGGCTAATCGGGGGTTTCCGAATTTCAAATTACTCATCCGATCAGCAATTTCTTTCGTCGAATCTTATTCCTACTCTATTGGATAGTGGGAACAGTCGCGAGCGAGTCGCACCGATAATCCCCGATGGTACGCGCGGTCGTGCGCGAATCATCGGCCGACAGGAACTGCACGTTCAATCGAGTTTCTGAATATTGAAAGGTTGTTGGAATAGTGTGATTCATTCGATGCGATTCGTTTCCAGTACGACGCTTTGTAAAATGTTGTTTTATCGGTCGCGTATCTGCCATCGCATCCGGCGTGACTTTGACGCTGTCAACGGGGAACTGTAGCAGCGCGAAGAGTAGCGCTAGCGGTTCCGTTTCGAGAAGAAGGAATCGATCGGGACGTACAGGATACGTTTCGTTCGTAATTCGGTTTGCGCGCGTTTGACATCCCCGTTACCGTTACGACCATGCAAACCGATCGGTCAAGGAACACGACCATGGGTGTCCATCTATTAGCGCAGATGAACGCCCTTCAAAACGTGTTTACGGAAGTGATCCACTTCTTGGAATGTCTGGGAGAAGTGAATCTCCCGATCCCGCTCAAAAGTTTCCGGGACGATCTGTTGATCCGCTCGAAGCAGACTTTGATGCGGTTCATGGCCGAGAAAATCGGAACACAGACCACTTCTGAGCCGTACTTGAACATGAGTCCAATTGCGTTGAAGGGTTTGGTCACAGTCAACGAAATAGAAACCGAACTCGGGGAATACGTGGTGGCGGAAGAGCATCAGAAACAAAAGCAACAAGATTATTACGAAAGCTTTCAAACGGTCGAGTCGAATCACGCAGCGATCCTAGCCGCGGAATGCGCGCCTCAACAATCTCACGCCAAAGATGAAAAGATCGAGCACGAGCTGCTAGAGATCTACGCGAATTTCCCGGCAGCCCAAGCTAAGATAAAATGTTCGAAATTCGGCCCTCTCGACAGGAAGGAAGGGAAAAGGCTGTTCACTTTTGGACAGTATCGGAAGTGCTGGGTCGGTAAGTTACATTGCTTCCGCTGCGCGTTGCACCGGAAGTGTGACGCGCGATAAACATGATTATTTACACCCGTGTGTTGTAGGCTTGATCGAATCGTGTTTACTGATCTACGGGAGCGATCGGGACAACCGGCCGTACATTGTGCTACCGATTCGTGGTTACGCGGCTCGCGCCGCGCCCAACGCCATACCCAAAGATCAACGAAGAAGCGGATCCACGTTTGAAATCTTTTGCCCTGGCAACAGGACCTTCCAGGTGAACGAGCTTCCAACAGATAGAATAGAATAGAATGTAAAGTAAACGCAGCACGGTTTCTTTTCACGTCGGTCGTGGTTCTTTCAGTTCGTCGCGAAAAGTCCGAAGGAAATGGAACAGTGGATCGTGAAAATCTACGAAATGGGTATCGTCGAGAGAAACGAGAACGCGGAATTGCGAAAAGTCTCGGTAGCCGCGCCGCTCGAAGCTAACGTCCCGGAAGTAAACGCTCGCATGGTTTCCAATCGCGTGGAAGAGCATCAAAATGTTGGATGTTCAGGCGTCGATAAGGCTAAGTCGGAATTAGCTGCGAATCTTACCGGTACCGACACGAAAGCGATCGACTCATTGTCAAAGAACCTTCTTCCGTCGGTTTCTTCGTCCGCTGCCGCTGTTGTCCTCGACGTCGCGTCCGCTACTGTTACCTCTGTTTCTTCAGTTGCTTCCGCCAGTACTCCCACTCCTGCTTCTGTCCCGGGTCCTTCGTTACCTGCCCGAATCCCGCGAAGATTACCGGCCCTACCTACGGCATCGTACGTGTCCCAAGAGGAGGAGGAGGACGATATGTATTATAAGATCGAAGATTTCAGAAACACGACGCGTACGCGTAATTACAAGAACGTGCCAATCGGCAAAGCGAATCGAATCGAGAGAGAACCAAGGCTTAACGATCCTCGAGGGAACCAAGTCTGCTCGGACGTAAAAGATACGAGTGTATTGGTAGAAAAACCAAAGAGGAATTTGGACAACGCGGAACGACCGACTGGCTCGCAAAGCGGAACAATGTGCAACAATGATAGCGATAACATTAGTTCCGCGGCGTCCACCTTGAACAATGATAATGTCGGCCGCGTCGATAAAAGAGACAAATGTTACGATGACGCTGAGGTAACTAATTCTACGTCATTCTCGATCACACGGAACTCGTCAATTATTTTGATCGCTGCATTGTGTTTCAGAGTCTGCGTTTGTCCCCAAGATCGAGCAACGATCGGCCGAATACAAGTGCTTCCGACAAACCGGTGGAACCGGCTAAATCGCCAGATAAATTACAAAAGAAGTCTTTTTTGCATCGAGTAAGAAACTTGAAAGAATCTCCACGAAAGGCTGAAAAGAAAGCAACGAAACGCGTAACACCTACGCCACCGGCCGTGGATGAGCAACAATTGCCTACCTACGACAAGGTGTCCGCTCTAATAAACACCAGACAGGTGAAAGGAACCATCTGTTCGGAAGAAGAAAAATCCGAGTACACTTGTCCGCCTCCGCCTAGACCAATTTATGCGAATCCTCCTGTAGTCGTTGATTCGGTTGATCAGCAGGAACTTTACGATGACGTCAGTTATTATCGAATAAATCACAAAGAGCAAGAAACGCTGCAACCGGTCCGAGTAAGTTACCGTTCTCTTTGTTAACCCTTTCCACTCGAGAATTGTTTCGCTAGATATATTCCTGATTCTCTAATGAAATACCAATGATGCTTTATAATTAATATTAATATAAATAATATAGAAATTAAGGGATAGAACTATTCTATTTTAACGTTTCATGGATAATTGCGTTAAATGAACTTTAATATTGAATATCAAACTTTGTAATTTTACTGTATCAAACCAAATGGCGACTGTGAGTCGCCTCTCGAGTGCGAAGGGTTAACCGTTCCTCCATTGACGGTAGATAATAATTGCTTTTACATTAACGGCGTTTCGATCGATTGTCAGGTAACTCCGAGAAAATTGAATTGCACTCAAGGATCTACTCGACGAAACCTCGATGACTCTGTATCATGTAAAAATATTGATCGACTGGAATCTCCAGTGTCGCTAGACCAAATGGAACACTATCAAACACCGCGGCTCAAATCGAATCAACGTGAACATTGTACCGATCAACAGGAGGAGCTCTACGACGATATCGCCATACTTGCAGAGTGTCTGGCACGAAAAAAGGAATTCAAGGATAGTAAGGACGTCGAAGAAACTGGCAAGGTACAAGTTGCTACGGAGAAGAGATCTTGTAACCGATTCATCGGTGAAAAGAAACCGAAATCGATCGATTTCACTACAGTTCAAGAGACGAATCCTCGAAACCGGAACGGGATCGAACAGGTGGACGATCATGCCGCGACGAAAATGAATAATATCCAGAAATTGATCAGCAAAATGGAGAACTCTTTTGGCAAGGCAGCCGTTAAATCAACACCGACTCTGCTAAACAAAACGAACGCAACCGATAACGTGTAATATCTCACGAGCGTATAGATAATTATCCCGAATTTTTATATATTACGAATACCAAAAGTCTACTGGGACCAAAGATTTCAAGCTGATAGATTTTGATAAAAAAATCGATTTCATGAAAACGAAGATCTTTCGTATATTTGTAATTATTTTTAATTCATCAAAATAAATAACAGAAGCCCTGATTCTTATATAATAATATGTCGTCTCTTACATTCAAGCTGGTGCACTGCTATTATTAACATTTTTTATTTGTTCGATAGCTCACTCATATTCCCCCTAAAGCTGTTTTCATAGACATAGTATAAATCTTTGCAAATGCTTTTGGTCCACATGGTTGCAGCCCGTATAGAAAATTGGAACGTATTGATGCTGTGTTTCTGAAATTCTTTCAAAGGTACACCCGTATTTCTTTCTATATAGTTTATAAGCGTGTTACACCGCTCTGAATACATTGGCAGAACTACGATTATTAGCATGCCAGTGATCAAACTTAGAAGAAGAAACTGTGCAATTGTGTACTTGCCTGAAACGCGTTGCAATTTCATTCAAATTAACATGGTGAAATGATCGTAATAGAAAGGTGTCGGTCAACGATACATTTACCTTTCAATGCGTGTTCTTCGTCGGTGTTTGGATTATTTTGTCCCATTGCTGGTATTACAACCTTATTTGCGCCTACTTGCGGCTCTTCGGTTGAAGACGTCGATTTACTTTCATGTGCATTTTCTTTATTATCCTTCTCCGCTGTTTTCTTTTTTTTCTTTTTTCCAACCTTTTTTGTTAATAAGGTATCAGTCTCTGCATCTACCAACAGTGAAAATATTATTGATTTTTACTCTCTGTTCCCTGTTAATTTCTATTCTCTGTTCCTAAGTATTACTTGTGACAGCATTTAATCTTCGTAATTTCTCTTCTTCGATACTGAGTTTTACACGTGACAAGTACATAACAATATTGCGAGCACAGGCTTGACATTCGGTTAAATTACTACAGGGACCAGCCACACTGGCTACTGCAGGAGTTAATGGATTTTCCTTTAAATCCAGCCACCTTAGATTCTTCAATTCACTTAAACTAAGAGGTAGCCTGCTTATCTATAAAATAATATTTCCTATTATATAGACAGATATACACAAATTATTCGCAGAATTATCGTTAGGAGCTAAGTTGACTTTACCTGATTCTCGTAGAGATCCAAATATCGCAGTTGTTTTAATTCTCCAAAATTTTCAGGAATCTCTGTTAACATATTTCTACTGAGATCTAATTGAATTATTTGCTTAAGATTGACAAAAGTATTCTGAAATAAATTATGGTTGTTCTGTAATAACTATTGTGTAACTAGAAGCAATATTTCTGAAAACTTACAGGCAAAGCAGCTAATAAATTGTTTGATAAATCCAAATTCCTTGCTTTCTTAACAGTCGCCTAAAAAATTTGTTTATTGATTACTAATATCGATACTTTACATGTACAATCTTTTTTTATTTTGAACGTGTTATTTGGATCTACATACGATTTCTCGAACAGGCACTTCTTTCAGGTCACATAAACTAAGATCCAATGTATCATCTTTCAGTCTATCTTTAATATTTTTTAAATTCATTTTAACGGCACAGGAATTTTTTCAGTGAAACAAATAATGCAGTAAAATATGGAAAACTTTGCCGTGTCTTCAGTTTTTCGTAGCGTCACCTTTCGGCAAACAGCATAATACAATGCTAATTAAAAGATCTCGATGTTAATTTAAAAGACAATAAAATATTTTGTTATTTTGTCACAACCATACAATTGAAAATTTCATACTTTAATCAGTGGAAGCAGAAAGTGCTTAACGGTAATAGAATCCACGTGGCTTATAGACACCGATCTTCGATAGTAAGTATACTGGTACCACTCAGGCACGAGTGTCAAATTTAAAAACAGGTTTATCAGTTGAGCAACTTTGAAAATCGTACGAATGTTGGCAGAACTTGTACGATCATAGCGAAATTGCGACACAACGTGGTGTAATAGGAACAAAATATTACCACGAATTGTAATAAGTTGAACATCTACCCCATTATAGAAACCGTGTCCATTTAGATACTCGAAGCAAGAAAATTGACAAGTGGCAAGAGACATTTAAATTTCGACGAGAATTCAAAGAATCAGGAATTTATCGCCAATTAAGTCCTGCCATTTTTAAATTGAAAGTGTCCTTTTTTGTATAATTTCGAACATATTTACATCTTTTTCTTAACGATTCAGTTCAAAATTTATTTTGTTCAACATGTCCACACGGTATATGAAAAAAATGTACGGAGGTGATACGTTACCAGAGAAAGATAGTGAAAGCGAGAATGAAGAAGAGAATTCAATGATTCGTGATGTTAAGTCTAAGACGTTTAATTTATTTGATGTAGTAAGTTTTTCATTTCTTTAATTATTGTTGATTCCTTGTATGTTTTTTGACCTTTCTGACTATTAAAGGCTTTTATATTTCCATACTTTGTAGATGTCACTGTTATTTATTTTTTCTGTTTTCAGTTAAATCAAAATACTGAAACTGCAGAGAAAGAAAATGAAGAACAACAGGTTGTCGAAGAAGATTGTCAGGCTGAAGCTAAACGCAAAAATAGAAAGAAAAAAAGGAAGAAGATAGTAGATGGTACAAAAACTCATCAAACTGTTCAGTCTGTAGAAGTGGAAGACACAGATGAAATCGAAAGAAGTATAAGGGAAGTGAATAAATTACTCGGAGAACCGCTTCCAAGCTGTAGTTCTCAGGATACAAACAATTTGCAATGGATAGAAAAGCAGTCTAAAGAAGATATTTTGTTAGTGCAACACAAACACTTGAATCCTTATAATGAACTTAAAAGAATATTTGGTAGTAAAACGGTCCAAGCTGAACAAAAGTACGTAGAATAAAATTTATATTCTAAATAGTTTAGATATAAGGTGTCATAATTAACAAGCATAATTGGATTTTATATGGTAATTATAATTTTTATAGTAACAGAAGAAATAGAGCTCGTGTGGGCCATTTGAAGAAAACTTGGTTAGCTTCTGCAAGGGACAATTGGCCACCGATTAATAAGTCTGGTCTTTCAATGTCATTGGATCACACTATGAAATCTACTAATAATGTTCAATACTTTGTTTACGATCATGGTCCGTCGTACAGACAGATTCAATTAAAATTCTTAGAAGCTGTTGAAAGCTTAAGTCCTGAAAACATTGTTGTAAGTTATATTATTTTCTTTTAAATATTACGAATAGAATTTCCTTAGAAATATTTAATTAGATTTTAATTCTTAATATGAATTTAATGTGTTTCAGAACATTATAAATGCACATTCTTATCATGTAGATGCATTATTACAATTAGCAGAGCTTTGTGAACTCAAAGAAGATTTAGCCATGGCTGCAGAATTTACAGAACGAGCACTATATTGTTTAGAGTGTGCTTTCCATCCATTGTTTAATGTCACAACTGGATTCTGTAGATTAGACTATAGAAAACAACAAAATCGTGCTTTGTTCATAACCTTATTCAAGCATCTCAAATTTGTTGGTGGACGCGCATGTTATAGGTAAAATGAATAAATGCTTATAATTGTTTTATTTTTTTATTCACACTTCTGTACAAGATTTTATGTTTCAGAACAAGTTTGGAGTTTTGTAAATTACTTCTATCACTTGATCCAGAAGGTGATCCACTAGCTATAATTCTTTCTCTTGACTTCTATGCTTTACGAGCAAAAGAATATAAATGGTTTATAGAGTTTTGTAACCTTTGGGATGCTACAAGAAATTTGACACAATTGCCAAATATAGCATATAGCTTAGCGTTGGCTCATTTTCATTTAGGTGATGAAACACTTGCCGACGTACTTTTACAAAATGCTTTAATAATGTTCCCGGGTGTGCTAATGCCTTTGCTGGACAAATGCAGTATACAAACTGATGAGAAGGTATTTTTACTAATTCAATGTTGTTTCAAAAATACATTAATAATCAATTAACGAAACGAATAACCATCTAGGTACGGAATCACGAGTATTTTAACAGTAAGGCAAAAACTTCAACAACACCAGCCTTAGAAAAATTACAGGATCTATATGTTGCGCGTAGTTTTCGCTTATGGAAAGAAACTGATCTTTTACCATGGTTACGTGAAAATGTACATGTTGCATTGAATCGAGTCAATATTAAAGATGACTACGTAAAATACTGCGAAAATAAACGGAGTAAACGCTATCAAGGGAAACTACCAAAGAATATTTTGAGACATATTATATTATCTGATATAAAAGATGTTACTGTAAATATTCAAGAGGTATACAGAATTTTATACAAAGCTTTTATACATAATGTACTTTTCTTGTATTCTAATATATTCTTAAATCTTTTTTATATGTAGATACAAAATGATGGTTCAGTGTTTTCGCATGATCCTCTGCCACCTGTGGATAGTATTGATATTTATAAAAGACCTGCACCAAATACAGGATCCACACGAGCGAATTCTAATATTTTGTCTCTGTTTTTCTCGTCCCTAGTGTCAAACATTAATGGAGAAGTTGTAGTGGTCGCTCTTGATGGTCTAAATTTATTGTAAGTATTTATTATTTTGACATGTTTAAGTGTGAAAACATTATTTTTAATAATGACTGTAACAAATAATATTCTATATCTTTAGTTATGATAATAACGAGCAAACGTAAAGTGCCGTCATGAAGTAGAGCAGAGGTGTCTAACTACTTCTCCTCCGACAATTAACTCTCGATCAGCCGGTCCCTCGCTACTTCTACTCCAGGAGCTGCACGAGTTCCACTTTCAGTTAACCGATTTTCTCACCACGTATATTTGTAGTGATGACTAACCTGCTTATAGTGGCGTTCGTGCAGCAACTGAAGGAAAAAGGGGAAATATGTATGGAGTGGATCTTTCTCTTACAGCTGTGCGGACTAAGCGAAGAGGGGAAAGCGTGCATTATGCACGTTTAGCTCGAGAATACCTACTTACAATAGTCGGCACAGACGTGAGAGACCTACCGTAGACACCTCTGATGTAGAGTAATAAAGAACAAAAATTTCACTCTGAATACAATATCAAGAATGAAAGATATATAAGTACATGTATACATATACATATACATATACAATATATATATTGTATATGTATATGTATATATATATTTCACACGTCAGCTACTTTTACGAAGATAATATACATTTCATATCAGATAATATATCTACTGTTTATAGCGAACACTGTAAAATTGTAATGTTTCTTAGGTACTTGTAACTTGATAATACTAATTATGTTCAGTATCTATTTATGAGATTGTATATTAATTGTTTGTACAATCTCGTATGTATTGTTATAATTTTCATGAAATTTTTTAAGCAATCGTGGTATTACTTTTTCGAGAAATTGTAAATACGTATAAAAGGTGTATGTACAATAATGAATAAAGAAAATTGAATTGTTGCAGAAATGGCATTGAAATATTTGTTCGTTATTTTATGAATGATTAATATTTCAAATGGGGAAGTATAAATCATTCTCTGAATGTGTTTCGTTAAAAAAGAATTATTATTTTTCAATAAACTTATTTTATGTACAGATCTATACAGTTAGTTTGTAATGTAACTGTCTTAATTATTTTTAATCATTATTGGTAATAGAACATTCCTTTTTTTATTAAATGCAAATACCTCTTCTTACAACTATAATGCATCAACGAATGAGCATGAAAATATGTCCGTGTGCGTTTGCTAGTATAAGCTTGGGCGTTCTTCGGAATTCTTTTAGTTAATTGTTACATATCTATAAAGGCCCAGTTTATCTCATTAAATATAATCATAGAGGAAAACATAAAATTGGAATAAATTATTAACAATTTCATTAATGACGTTAAGTTGCGATCGTTGATCCGTACAACGTCTTTTTAGAATTAAGTATATTTTTATTCATTTTACACCATACTACGAAATACGGGATTATAACGACATATTCCAGGACCGTATTCTTGATAAGCTTTCTTGGTATGACAAACCCTATAAAATTCAGGATCGCTTGCTAATAAAGCACCACCGTACCATACAGCACAACGTTGTTTATGATGCGATATGACGTGAACGTCCATCGGTTTTGGCTAAAATAAAATTGAATGTATACTTTTAGTTTACTCATTTTGACATGATTTTTCTTCATTTCGAAATCGAAATAATGTATATTAATAAAGTATACGTTACCGTAATGTAGCTTCCACTTAACGTTTCGCTAAGTTTAAGACGAGCATCGACGATACGTTTTATATCGCGTTGTAATCGCCTACCGAAATCTTTAAACATCGTAGAACCGCCCGATAAAACAATATTATTATACAATGGTCTTCGTACATCTATTGGACAATTTTGTATTACATCATCCACGATTTCACTTAACGGTGTTGTAAAGTCTGGATTAGAAAACTGGAGAAAACACAAAGTTACAAACGTGATTTTAAAAATAAGCTATTTCATTGTAAGTTTAAATTTATATAAACATACTTCGGGATGGAAGAATATTTCTGGCCCCAAGAACCTCTCGTAACCAACGTCTACGACGAAAGGCTGTTTAGTGATATTGTTGATACCTTCATACTGTTTTATTTTAGTAGGATCGCTGTCGTATTTAGCGAACTCCTTTGAAATATCAGGACATATATAACAATGTTTTTCTTTAATCGCTTTAGCTGTTTCTAGCGACTGTTCAGGCGGTATTCCGATTTCGCGTTCCCTTAACAAACTTTGTATAAAGTAAGTGATATCGCGTCCAGCGATAGGAATATGTTTTATACAACTTCCAATAACAAAACCTTCTGCCTGAGAGACAACGAATTGATTAATATAAAACAAAAGTTCTTAAAATACAATTGTATACGAATTTTATATCTTCTGCTTCATTATACTTACAACTGGAATTACATGTGTTACTCCATCTCCACTATCAACTACTACTCCTGTTAATGTTCTATCCTCTAGACTCTTAGCTGTCCAAGAGGCAGCTAGCGCTAATACTGCTTGTACTGCAATATAAAGGCCTGGTACATTAAAGGATTCAAACATTATCTCTGCTGTATATTCTCTATTCTCAGGAGTGTTTAATGGTGGTTCTGTGAGTAGAAAGTAATGGTCCTCAGGTTCTGCCCTGAGATATTTGAAAATGCATTGCTGCAAAAATTTTTCCATTAAATCCCAGTCTTCTACCAGGCCATGTCTAACTGGATACTAAACAGAATAACAATATAGTTGAAAAAAGTAGCATTGTGTTTAATTAGGAATCTTTTATATATATAATTTAGGCATGCCTGACTAAATAAATTGCTAAGGGTATAATTCTTTACAAGAAAAATTGAAATCAAATAATATTACAAATAATGGTGTAACTGTATCTTAAATATTATTTTAAATTTGACATTTCCTTTGTCTATGTTATATATGTAAATATTGAAAGTTTGTCAATAGACTATGTTTACCTCCATATAATTTATTGCTCTTCGAGGCTTCCTTATTCATATATTCAAGTTAAATAAGTCAAACATGCCTGACATAAATAAATACCAATGCATACTTTCACAGAATATCCAGTAGCTTCAAAAGCCTCATCTCCGATATATGCGTCCAAATCTTCAACACCTTTAGTAATTCTTCTAGCATTATTATCTCCAACTTTTGCCGTTTCTTTTATAGCAATTGCTGATGGTATTATAAGTTGAGGCTCTTTGTTACCAGCAAAGCCTAACTTCGTGTAGCTAAAAAAATATAAGCGTTTATTATTTTTCTTTTTTAGATTTCATTTTAAATCGTTAACGATATAAAAATTGTATGAAACATGGATTTTACAATTTCAATAATACGTACGCCATTTATGTTGCAAGTAACATTTGTTACTAAAGAGAAAATGTAATGTGTCATAAGTCATAATAAGTCATAACGTTCCTAGCCTATTTCTTTTTGCCGGGGTTTAATAATTTTAAATTAGAAATTTTACTTACCCTGTACCTACATCGATCACACATGCGGGAAGGCGACCGAGCATTGTGTTTCTTTATTTTTGATTGATATTAATTTTATTTCAAGAACGCCCTAGCTGGAAATCCGAAACTTAGATCTCGGTATACACTTTCGATAAGCCACACCTCGTTTAGACAGATAAAGTTGAAGCACAGCTTAAGCCGTACACTCACTGCATGAAATTGTTCGGTGTAATAATGAATTGTAAAAAATGTAAACGTAAACTGTTGGAAACGATGTGCGACATCTATATTTGAAATTTTGTAACTATGTAACGATCAACAAAATCATGTTCAAAGTTGAAATTATGTGTATTATACAAAACTGGATTAGTTATTGAGCAGACATGTTTTTGTTATTGAAAAGAAAAACAAAAAAGTAATATCAACAAATAGGATCATGTAATATGTAACAAACGGAATCTAACGGACTGCTTCTGTCGTCTCTATCGTGTCTTGTTATTGTCTTCTCAGTTTTATACAATAAACAACTTGACTCGTAAAAAAAAATTTTTATATTCAATAATAATTTACAAATAAATTATTATTTTACACTTATATATAATATTATAAACGTATATAATTATAATATAAAGTATTTTTAAAATAATTGTTCCATTCTCATTCGATCATCTTGAAGTTGCAGGATGTAAGTGAATCTCAATTTTGTATCATGATATTTAATAATATAAAATATTTTTACAAATATAAACCCCCAATGGACGTCACAATTAAATATTTTATTTAATTAATGTGGTAGAATCTGAATGTTATTTGTAAAGCGTTTAATTTCAAGTCTGTTGATAATACTCGTCAGTAAGTCTAACCTAGTAGGCTATATTTTGAACACGTTTTTCAACGATCTGTTTTCGTTTTCTACTGTAAGGTTAAAGGAATGGGAACTTTATTAATCAAAACTTAAAACGATATAATTATAAACATATCATAAGAAAATATATTTATCTTTTTAGTTTTTATAATCTTACATTTTAATAGTTTAAATGGCAGTAAAAAATGTCATGGAACAAGAAATATTGCTTAGTTTGATTAAGAAGACTAGTATCATATTTTATTTTACTCCTGCAAGATATAGACTTATGGCTATATTATTTTTATGGCACTTACAGCTCTTCTCGTTCTTTGAGCTTATTTGTATCTTCATTTGTAAATGCAATCATAGAATTTTCTGTGTCACTGATATATCCTTGTTCACCAGTATAATGAGTAGGATAGATCAACAAAGGATTTGCAGAAAGTATTATCAAATCTCGTGTTGGGTAATGGACTTTCCATTCTTGTCTATGTGAGAACAAAAATTATGTTGGTGAACAACAAAGAATTTTAGAAAGTAGTCCATTAAAAAACCTTTTGCTGTACCTAGGATGTGTATTAGATAATATTGGTAGATACTCATCTACGGGTATCAACTTCTTAAGTGGTTCCGCTTCTATAAGTTTTTTTGCTCCGCTTTTAGATAACATGTATCCTAATGTCCAATAACTGTAAGCGGCATGTACTAAATATTTTGATCCTTCAATTGGAGATTCAGCACTTTCCATTAATCTTTTTCTTCCCAAATAGCTACAAACAGAGTATCATCATAATGTTAATAATGATCATGTTGGTAACATAAAATATATAATGTTACCACTAAAATCGGTTTGAAAATTAAAGTACACTTACACCAAATCCCATTTAAGCTGAAGATTATTGAGCTCTGTTAATATATAGTTCACTTTTTGTCTAAAGAATGGTTCGAAACGAATATCATCCTCTAAAATTATAATGGTTTCAACATCATCTTCTATCACCTAGTAATTCAGCACAAACTTAAAATGATTTGCGAGCGATCACAATTAAATACATTTCTTCAATTGTGAAATTACCTTATTCCAGATAATGTAATGACTTAAGAAACAACCTACTTCTCCCATTGTCATCGGTCTGTGCATATTTTGTGTTATTATTATTGATCCAAATTATTTTCACCTTCCATTGTAAACTTACCTATTATGGTAGGGATCGGCATATTCCGGCATAATTTTTACTCCCATATTATTTAAGATGGAATGATTCAATGACCTATACAAATAAATACAAAACGGGATTAAACACCTTGCAGAAGTATAAGGAAGAAATTTTCGGGGCACTTGATATACCATGATTTCTTTTAACTTACCTACCGTCGATGGCGTCAACAGTATACGCTCGAATACCGAGTTCTTTGAAAAGTCGGTGCATTCTATTTCGCCTTTCCGGTCTTCTTAAAAGATTTATCATATAAATATTATCGACTCCTAGCGTATCTTCTACAGGATATTTAACGTAATGTTCAAGAACCTTGGACAGTGGAGGATAATCATTGTCTGCTAAAACAATGGAAAAATATGTTATACAAAATGTGAATAATCCATTATAAATTTCTTTCCAGTAACATTTAAATATACAGCAATATTTTGCCATGATAAAACGATCAACATACTTAATATCTCTGTTTTAATATTGGTCAGAAGTTCCAAATCGTCCGCAATTGTTTCTCCTTTTTCTAATGGCACCATAATAAATCCGTAATAATCGTCATTGCAAATAAACAATGACACCCCTGTGAATAGTAAACGATAGCGGGAAAGGCATAATCAGATACAAATCAATGAATACGAAATAACTGAATCACGGCTACTTTAAGCGTCAGTATACCAGACTTGTTAGCTCCAACAGCAAAGCTTATAATATCATCTGTAGGGCCATCATACCAATCCAAGTTATGGGGGTCATAAGTCAACAGGTCTGAAGCTCGTTTTCTTAAATTTATGAGAACCGCGCTATGAAGCATAGGTACATCAAAACATCCTGTCTCAGTCCTAAACAAGATCCGATTGTACTTATCCGTTCTAAGGTAGTAGTAATTTGAATTCATTCCAGCCCAAAAATTGCTATACATGCCATCCGATTTTAATAATGGACTAACCACAGTTTCATTTTTTGAAATTAATTTATCTAGAGTATAAGGATTCGTTAGAAAAACGTCTGCGTCGAGCATCTGCAATTAAAAGATGGAACATAGAGTTTAATATTTTTTACACGGTTTTCGTTAGGAAAAGTTTACGTACCAAAACAAAATCTGCCCAGATGTTCCGTCCCGCGTTAAGACAACTTTCGCGGAGGTTTATCACGTGCAAAAATCTTTGGGTCGACCAATCAGCAATTCCATCTTCATCTTCAAAGCCGTTCGATCTTTCATTTAAGTTTCCGTCGACGCCGTGATACTCGTTACCTTTACTCTCCAACCAAGTAGACAATATTTCGATCGAATTATCAATATTATTATCACTGTGTATGCTTTAAAAAGAAAAACATGTAATTTCTTAATAACTTTTTTACGTTAAATAAATGTTACGATTATTTATGTATAACTGAATTTTCAAAATAAGAAATTGAATTGTTTTTCGTGAAATTTTTTCTGAAATTTCGAAATTTTTAAACACTAAATAATCAAGATAAGTCAATACTATTGATAAATCATATAGAAAATGAGTAAGTATCTACATACAATACATAAATATATATGTATCTAAATAGGTGTTTGATTTTCAATGGTGGGCACTTTCAAATTTCTAAGTAAACCCGGCATTACAATTATTCCGTAAATAAATATTCTTAATATGAAATAGAGATTAAAACATGAGACTTACAAAGAAATGAAATATTAATAAATAATAAAATTATTTATAAAATGATGAAACTTTCTCAAGATTAAAGAATTTTATTTGAACTGCAATAATAACGGTTACCGATAGGAATGATTTTCTTTACGTTTTTACAGAAAGAATAACTTTTAAATATTTAATTTATTTCAAATAATATACATTTAAAACACCTGACCCCAACGTACATTAAATTTATAACAATTTTGCTAAGCTAATTTTGTAGAAAAAATGAGGTTATGAAAGATATACTTACCAAAGATGTATCCGTTTTTTTGGATAATCTAGACGTTCCAAGAAAGTTAAAAAGTATGGTAATGTGTGTGCTTTATTTCGAACTAAAATCGAAATTAACACTGTTGGTTTTTTCAAGTCCTCGCAATAGATTGTTAATGATACGATAAAAAAAATTAAAAAAGCAGAAACATTGTTCACCGACCCCATGGTTTAAAGGTATTTCTTTGTAATTTTGTGTGCTACTATTTTCTTATTTAAAGAGAATGCGCGAAAAAAACTCATAGAATAAACGCAATGACCTTAGGTACATTTATCTCGTCTTCAGTCTCTCGTTCATTGCTTTGCTCTTTCTGATCAAATTTAACCACCCACGTTGGAAACGCGAATAGTCGGTAAAGCTGTAAACTATCCGCATAAACGATGCAACTGCTGTGATTTGTATTAATACTTCCTGAACTTTGTGAATCGTTTGAAATTAACGAAGATTGCTGACACAACATTTTCTTGTTTCTTGAGGATTTGCCATGGGTCAATAGGGGTATTAATGAAATGATAGGAAAATTATAGTGTGCTTTATAAATTCATAGTTGTGAACAATTTTCGAAGAATTATAAAAATTCATATAACATATGTCAGAAATATGCATTTACTTACAAATAAACAATAAGTTACAAAATACAACTTTTATTTCACAATTAGTAAAAATTGTTAATGTTACGATATCGTCTTATAATGGTTTATAAAACATTTGATATATTTTTGTTTTTTGGTACCTTAAGTATTATTTGACTGTGCAAAATGTTTTTCTAACTACTACTCCTTCTCCTCTTCTTCCTCTTCTAATGATTTTTCTTTACTTGAATCACTGTCTTTCAATTTCATTTTTGATGAATAACTGAGACTAGATTTTACAAAATTTAATGTTACGATACCTAAATCACCACTGTATCTGTTTTTGGCCACCTAGATATATAAGTTTTCTTAATAATTAATTTCATATTGTATAAGGAATAATAAACTGGGAACACATTTCTCTGTCATATGCATACTTGTAAATATTTCTTGCCTCGGATACTATGCAATCTTTTGTCTTGAATGATAAGTATATTATCTGCTTCTTGACTCGCTTTAGCGCTCCCGAAAATTGATGAAGTTGTTAAATCATCTTCATTACGTTCTTTTCTTGGATGTATTATTACAGTTACATGACAATTGTATTTAGTAGCAAAATTTCTGAATTTTGAAATTATGTCATCCTGCTTCAAAAATCTACAAAATGATGGTATTATTTTATGTATAAGTTTATTTCATATGCCCATTTTAATACCTGTCAAAATTTTTGCAGTCATATGATGTTCCCATCATGAATTGAACATTGTCAATTATTAAGTGACCTATATCATGGACATAAGTTGCGTGTTCAACTGTCTGCAAGAAAGATATTGTTTTCTATTTTGTTATATATACAACTAAATGATGTAATGCTGCATATACCTACATCCATTACAACTTTAATACTTTGTTGACCATGGAACGTCATAAAATAGATAGGCAACTTTTCAAAGCTATCTGCATATGCATCAAATTTTTCAAGATTTACATCTAAAGGTACTCCTACCATTTGTTGTAACATAGTTTTTGCTAATCGTGCATTTCTTATTTCAAAACTGCCCCATAAGGTGTTAACACCTTGCATTGCTAAATCCAATGAATACTCGCTCACAAATGTTGTCTTGCCACATCCTGACAAAAAGAAATAGTATTTAAAAATTTTATTATGATATTTTATTGAAAAACCTCAATGCTAACATTGTATTACCTGTTGGCCCAGTTAAAATTGTAAATTCTCCTCTCCTGTGGCCTTTCAGTATCTTATTTAAAGCTGGGAATCTTTTCCATTTCACACCTTGTACCTTGTCAATATTTTGTAGATCGCTCAACACTTCTTCCCTTAATTCTTGAAAAGTAGTTATACTTTTATGCCACACAGACTGAGCATTCTGAAGAATATCTTTTAAATTGTAACCCATTTTGGCCGCTAAACTTGGTTGAGGCTGTAAATCCGTTGGTCTTACAAAAAAACATCGTTTTTCATTTAACTTTCTTGCAAACTGTTTAGCAGTGTACCAACTTGTTTCATCATTTCCAAACCATAAAATCAACTTTTTGAAAGGTTCCATGTATGGTAATAACTGTTGAGGTAGACTTTGTAAATTGTATGGAAGACATATAATTACATTTGCTGACTTCTGTGATACCAGGGCTAATAAATCCTCTAATGTTCCTACAACCACAGCTACATTATCACTTCTACTGCTGCCTTGTTTGTATTTAATACAACCACTAACTCCAGAAACTGGAATTGTTTGCACTTCTCTTGAGTGTGGTGAAAAGGACTTATACCCAACAATAGAATTATCTAGACCTACTAAAGGAAAATGTAATAGTTCAGATGCTTCTTCATATATACAATTTAATTGATTCATATCATCTTGTAAGATTTTCTAGAAAAAAAAATTAAATTAAAATTTTTCACATAATTAGAAGATTAAATATTCTATTTCATTTCTTTACCGGAAATGAAAAATTTGTAAGCAGATTTTCATATTCCTTTGCAGTTAAATCTATAATTCTACGGCAGTTTGTTTTCAAATTTTTCCAATCGGTATTAAAAATTTTTTCTACTTTTACATTTTCTGCCAGCATATTAAATTCTTTTAGATGTTCATTTGATTTTTCTATTGACAGAAGTTTCTCTAATGTATCCCAAGAGCCAATGTGTTTACGTTTATCACACAGAAAAAAGCCTAAAACTACTTGTATTAATTTTATGTGCTAATGTAAAATTATTCCTATAGTGTTTATATTAAAAATAACATATACCTGTTGTTTTATTTATATAAATTTTTGAGCCACTTTTTACATTGTTGCATATGGGACAATCCAGTGTAACACATGTATGTCCGTCTACTATGTGTAAACATCTTTGTTTAAAGAATTGTTTTAAATTTAAAATGGATGTATTAGGTGTAAAATTGCTACGGTCCTCATGGAAGTAACGTTTTCCACTGAAACTTTTAATTTGGTGCTTTCCATTTTGAATACAGACACGTGCAAATAATGTTAACATTTCGAAATACAAAAGTATTTAGTAACTTAAAGTATTTATAGTAAGAAATTGTAATAATAACATTATCAATTCTGTTTTTATTACTTCTAAATAAATGACAAATGTTACAAATTTATAAATCACGGTTGATACATATTTGTATACTTTACAATAGATTATATAAATTTCAAAACACAGTATAAAGTCAAAATTTCTATGAACATTTTTGGTGCTTTCCTTACATACAGGTAACTTTCTGTTTTGTTTCATTTACACTTGTTATTTCTTGATTTGCACTTATATTTTATTATTTATCACCTCGTATGCAATATTGTTTATATGTAAAAAGTATTTTTTCTAAGTAATGTTTATTGCACGACACGTGCAATATACACCACAAGTTTTACTACACGTGCTTTCTTAAACAAGCAGAGACATCTCGAGGAAGAATAACATTCTTTATTTTCTTAACGCTTTTATCGATAGTGTATAGTCTATAGAAAAACTCTGAGAAAAACAGAACTTCTGTTGAAACTTTTGATATTTGTATATCCGAATTCGATGAGTTTGAAGCAGAATTTCGAGCCAGTTTTTTTACAAACAATGTCTCTTATTTTCTACGTCCCAATAAAGAAGCGTAGACTGCATGTACAGAATCGCCAATTTCGATATGTTAAGTAAATTGTACAGACATATTATCATAAACGCATATGTACCACTGGAAATTGATACCTACTTAAAAATAAGTGAAATTCCGTTTCCGTAAGAGTTGCTTTATAGAAAGTGTGTAAATTCAATTAAAGCTGTTTTAAACATTCTATAATTTTAATCTTTGCCTTTGAAATGTAAATAATTGTTATGTAAATATTGAATTTAACGTTGACGATGGAAATGCATACTCCGTACATCACTGTAAAGAGTTTTACCTATTTTATTTCATCTAAACTTAAATCAATTCGTTGAATTACACAAATTTATTTACTATATTTCATTAGTTTGAAGAAAAATGGAAACATCAGCTTAATATTTATTATATAGGTTTATATTATAATGACATTTCAAGTATATGTGTGTTACTTATAAATATTTATTTATTGAATATTATAGTACGTATTACAATATCATCTTACTATAATGAAATAAATATATTTTTAATTTAAAAGTTAATGCTTAGTTCCAAAAAATATGTAATTATATTTTTACATGTCTGTTCATTTTATTTTTCAATTACCGTCAAATAATTCATTTGATTATTTGTAATTTTATAATGTAAAATGTATACGTGAAGTAATAATTTCAGGAATGTAAATTATAAACTTTGATTGTGTTATATGTATATTGATATAATGCAGTTGACTGTATAATATACAAAACGATGCAGTTGCATTAATTTTCATTTTAAGATCCTTAGTTCTTTTTTGGTGGATTGTAGAAGGAAATTTTAACATCTTGCCTATGGAAAAAATAAAATAGCAACAAAGAAATATTTAAATATTCATTTTAATGATCTATAAATAGTTTTAATTTTTCATATTAAAACAAACATTAGTAAGTAACAATTATATTATTCTTATTTAATGTTATGCTTGAGAAATTGTAGTTGTATTCTCTTTCTACACCACTTAACAGTATCATTAAATCGGAATTTATAGTTTTATGAAAGAATTCTTTTTATATTACCTTTCTGTAACGTCATCGTTTGTATCATTTGCATCTGTTAAAATACCAATTTCATATACCACTGCTTTTATAACGTATCTGTAGTAACAAAAATTGATTTATATTAGTTAATTACTATTCAATGAATATATTATACTTCATAAATACTTTGGTGTAATAATTTTAATACTATAAAATTTTCTTACAAGTTATCATCGGTCGAATCATTCATTGAAGTATGCATTGTTGTTTCAATTGTTGTATTATTATCTGCACTGGACACAGGTAATGTTACACTTAATTGCACAAATATATACAATAGTAATAATATCGAGTAAAATACTCGAGAGACTTTAAAATCTTGTTCGATTTCACTGTTACACAACATTTTCAACAGTACTTCCTATTTCCATGTGGCTACTTTTATAGCAGGCTGGTGCTGCTTCATTAGCATCATTTCTTCTTTTTAACTTGTAGGTGTAACATATGTTGTTACATGCATTTTCATCTTGTTCATAAGTGAGAATGGAAAATTTGCAAGAGGCAAGTTCTAGTAAACAATATATGTTGAACATTTTAAGAACCTATGTAAAAACATGAAGGAAATAAAAGTTATGTATTTAATAATCAGGAAGATATAAGTTTCAAGAAGATTATGAGGAAAATGTTGAAAACTTTTAAATTGTTGTACAATTTAGAGACATTAAATTGAAACTAATTTTATAAGTAAGCATGAAGAAATATTGAAATACTATGTTGCAGTCTAATTATAACATCTTTAAATGTTTATGGTAAGTTAATAATATTGAGAATATTATTCACGTAGATAAATGGGATAAAATAGGAAAAATAATATTTTGCATGCGAGATGCAATAAGCTTCCTTACTTATTAAGTTAACACATAGGTGAGAATAAACTTCTGCATAAGTCACACATACATGTATATAACTGAATTATGCAAACACCTGGAATACTATTTTTAAATTACTATGAAATATAAGTAAATATTGTACACTCTAAGGTTTTTAATGAAGATCATAATGAGTGAAGATTATATGCAAGTTTATGTAATTAACAACTAATAATTAATAACATAATTTTAATCCCACATATTTTAGTTCTTGGCTATTGAATTTATATATTTACTTGAGTTTTACCAAATTTAATTTTCTCTATGTAACACAGACTTAATGATGTTATTGTTTATTCTTATTTAATGAGCAGCAAGTTAATAATTATTGAAATTTATGCAATTTATATAAATATATATTTACTATTGGAAATAATACTGCATACTTTTATGTAGTTACTGTTACGATAGTTTCATTTCGATATTACTTCTGTCCTTTCAATTATATATTTTATTCAAGTGAAAATAATATCTGAGAATGCATAAACATATTGTACTTGTAGTATGTAAATAAATAATTTGCAATATGTACTCAAGTGATGTTTATTTTGGAATTTCACCACGAATAGAAATAGTTCCTGATACATACGTTAGAGGTGTTATTGTTGCAGCGTCGGATACCATATTTACAGTACCTAACTTCTCATGTTTGTATTTAATGGTGGTTAAATTATAGGTATAATTTGCTGGTAATTTTCAACATGCGAACTTATAAAAGGGATGGAAATGAGGTAAATTATTGTAATTAAATCTAATAGTACTTGGGTACAATTATTTTCTAATTGAAACGAGAATGATAGCAGTGACAATATATATTATATATAATATTATAGCATATTATAGTAATAATTGTTTAACATTAGGTTTATAAGTGACTGTTATGTTGTAGCATCCAATATCAGAGGAATCCAGAAAAGCTTTTGTTAATTGTATGAATACCGAAGCTTATAAGGCTGGCCTTCCTGTAGGCATAATATCTGCATTTATGGCCAATGTATTTATTCGTGGTAATACACCAACTGTAAGGGCGATATTTACAGCCACAAGTGGGTTCTTTGGATATATTATTGGAAGATTTTCATATGCACCTACTTGTATCGCAAAATATGTGCCCGAAGTGAATCTTAAAGAAGATGAAACAAACTTAATGGAGAGGTAATATATATTTCTAAATGTCTGACAGTTGTTAACTTTAATAAGGTAATATAATTTAGACACAGAAGAGCATATGAAACTGCAAGTGAATCTGAGACTCCTTGGATAGAACAAGAACTAACATCAAATGATTATTATACAAATATAGATGATAATAGTAAGTTTATAAAATAATATAAAAATTAAAAAGTTTTATAATTGTTACAAATGTTCCTACTAGGTGTATTACAAGGGAATCAATTTGACGATATTAATAATGATATTGATATCGATGACAAACCTATTAACTTAAAACCACAGAAACGAAGTGTGACTTATGATGATTTAAGAAGCCAACACAGAGCATCGCTTTATGCAAGACAGAACAGGTATGAATTAATTAGAAATTCACAAGAAAGAACAAGAATTTATTCAAACTTAAGGCAATTAATTACAAACATTTTATGGTATTCAATTTTATTGGATACAATTAAATTTGTAATTATACTTCCATGGATAGAACAAGATCGAAGTCATTTCAAGATGAAGAATTACAGGATGATGCTGCAACTTTGAAAACTGAAAGCACAGAAGGAAATATATGGTTTTAAAGTAAACTGCATGTGCGTGTTACTTATAGATACTTCTAGTATTTGTATATTATCTATACACAGATATATCATATTACAAATAATGAATGAAAACTACAATGTTTCTTAAGTGCAGTAATGTATTTATTATTTGTTAATGTATATAATACTCTGCTTTGATTTCTTTTGCTCAATCGTGTACTGTTTGTTTAGAATTAGTAGAATAATGAATCGATTTGCAAATGAAGCACACAAGATGCAATATTTTTAAGAACAGTAAACAAAAATATGTAAATAAATTGGTAACACATATAGAGGTGTAGAGGTATATTTTTAAAGGTGTATACCAAAATAAAAATATTTACAGGATATGTACTTGAAAACGAGGAAATAAGACATTAACAAAATTACATACGACATGGACGTACAATCTTTCATAAGACTGCTGCAAATGTTAGGTGCCATTTCGGCATCGCATAAACATGACTAACAGAATTTCACTTCTCTTTCATAAAACAAAGATTCCCGATACAAGTATCTTTCCGATACTTATACGTTGATAGCTGAATAATTGTATGATAACAGATTTTTTCTTTTGTCACAGATTCTTTTATTGGCAATTGGCATTGGTTATATTTGAATGAAAATTTGTATACATGTGCTTGCGGTTTCTAATGCGTCTTAGTTTTTGACGCATGATCGTCACGAAACAGATTATACAGTTTTTTAATTTATTTTTCTCAAAAACATCTCGCGTTAAACTGCTCGCCTCTCAGAAATTCTTCAGTTTGTTGTACACGTAAAATATACGATTTTCTTTATTTCCGTGACGTTATGTGATACGTATGTTAATAGGTATAATTGAGATTGTATAATGGTAAATATAACAATGTAAAAAGAGATGGGTTGAGTTTGTAGTTTGAAAAAAGAAAACCACAATTTCGTTTCACGTGTGTTTGCCGTTATAACAATTCCTTTGTGTCCTTTTCTAACATCTCTAATTAGAGATAATCAGTTTGGGACGCTAAATACATATATCGATCGTTAACCATCAAATGCAATAGATTGATTTTCTATTACAATTTGTATGTTAGTTTGGTATTAACTCAAAACTGTGTTCTCCTCGTCCTTGTAATTTTGTGGATAATTTGGATAGGAATACAGTGATTAATTTTAATCCATAGTAGATCATTGAAAATTATCTGATCCGAATGATAAATGATACATTCTGGAACATACATAATTATATCGCGCGATTGTCAAATATCTGTAGGAATTCCAAATCATTTTGGATTTTAGTTAAGATTAACACGTTCACTACCAGCGCTTATTTCTGTGACGGTCTCCTTAATTCTAATATTTTCTGCAATCCAATAAATCTTCTAAACAAAATATTAAAAAAATGAAACTGAAATGAGTCATTGAGTTCCTAAATATAATGTCGTAATTTATAATTTCTAGTAACAATATCCATAGAATTAATTTCATTTTCATTATATAAAATATAGGATTATAGCCGTAACAAATATGTGACACTGGTAGCGAACGTGTATTTTATATAACCCAAATAGAATGGACGCGCGCGTAATGAATTTAAGTATTTCCGGTTGCAGGCGAAGGAGGAATCTTTCGATGTGACTTTGAAAGCGAATCTTATGTTTATATTTCATAATTCAGGACTTTTCTCGTCCGGAAGTAGGACCTACAAGGCGCTTCGTAATTCCAAGTTCGAAAGATGCGCCGAAAGAGCAAAATTGGAAGGTAGAAGCGGCTTTATAGTTGGTCGTTGTCGGTTCGTTAGCCGGGATTCTTTACCGCGGATTTGCGCAGCGAGGAACCGCGTGCAACCAACCATTGGCTATCGAAGGCGACCAATGAGCAAGTACTTCCATTCATGAGTTACGCTGCTTCCGTTCTCATAATGGGGGACTCCCTCTGATGTAACTCAAATTCAAAGTAAATATTGTCTACGTATATTTAACGGTATTCCCACGATTTCGTGAGGTGCCGTTTAATAAACGTTATTTGCCCCACCGTGATTCGAGAAGTTAAAAAGACCATTAAACCAGTAAGAAATGAAGACGTTCCCACAGGCAACGTCGTTGAAAATGATTGAAATGCTTTCTTTAACTTATTTTCTTTCGAGAAAAAATTGTACAATGATTGATCAAGATCGTTTTAGCTTTCAAAGTCAAGCCAGGAGACACTGATTTGATTTTATTCGGTGCTTCGGAGATCGTGGATCTGTTTTTAGAGCAACGTCCGACGCGTATTTATCTCCTGTTAAATGAAATAAATTTGGTGGAGGGCTACGAAAGGGTTGAAATTAGGACGCGTAGGACTCGTATAGAATATAATACGTAGAGTCGTAGCAGAGACAAACTAAGGGACGAGTCGTGTTTGGGTTAGGTCGGATCAGAGATCCCCGGTGAGATCGTCGCGTTACGATTCTCTCGTTTGCTTAAATGATCGCGCGTAGAAAGGAGAGTCATGCAGGTGCAGGTCATGTGAAATATTTGCACTTTGTCGTAATTTGCGTAATCCGTTGCATATATAATAAATCCGCAGAGCTAAAGCGCCATGATAGAAAATCGTTTCACAATCTAAAGAGAAAGGGAATCTCTGCATTGTGGGAGGGGAGAGATTTGAGATGCTTGTTGCCGCGTGCATTATTACCTAGGTACCAAAGTACGTGTACTTATACACGAACAAATACACCGCGATTCTTTCCATCTGAAATTCGAGGAGAATCGCGATTGAATTCGTTCACCGCCTCGTTTTGCATACTTTCGTTCGGGCGAAAACGTTATCTAAAGTATTGACTTTTGGGAACAGAGGACGCGAGCGTTTACTCCGAGGCGTCCAAAGGAATTTTCTTCGTTTCTATCTTGTAGCGTTTTAATCGTCGATTTGTCAGCTATCGAATTCGCGAGTAGGATCGTTAACTTACCGACTACTTGAACAGTTCCCGATCGGACAGGGGCGATTCGTGCGACCAGCAAAAAGAATCGTTGCGTCGCGCTATCCGACAACGGCGAACGAACAGAGAACTAACACGTACTAGAATTATACGTATGCAAGTAAATACAAGTAAATGCAAGTAAATACACGTGAATACGCGTTAATACAAATGCGTCCAGATAGGTGTATACACGTATAAACGTTAATCGCATCGGGATGACGTCAGGCGAGCGTTGGCGTAATGGCTATGACCGTTCCCGTTGTCCAAGAGGAAGATCGAGAGAAGAAAATCTTGCGGACGAGACGAAGATGGAAGCTCCTAGTTACGGGCAAAACGGGACTCGAACGTATAAAACGAATAAAACGGAAAGAACAGACGAAACGAATAGAAGGTATAGAAAAAGGGACAAAAGGAAAACGAAAGGATGACATCCTATTTCCATGTAGTAGTTATAATCTTACGTTTCGGACTGAGATCGTTTTATCGGTATCTTACAAAATACTTATATACATAGAAAATTGTTTTGAACTAGATGAACAGCGACGGATAAAACGAGGTGTATTCCAGATGAAAAGGGGAGAGGGTCCACCGGAGGGTTCGGAATTCGACGTGTCTCGCGTCGAAAGTCAAGGAAAATAGGACTGATGGGAAACATGGCAAAGTCAGCGGTAGGAGGCTAACAGATCCTCGTCGATTTTTCACCGATAATCGTGCTCCTTAGGCACTTATTTAGTTGCAGGGTCGTATTCGAAGACGAACGGAGAACGAGAACGAGCAGTTCTTTAAGAATACCGACGAGAGAACGGAAGCATGGAGAAAGAAAGAGAGGATGTATGAATTCAGAAAGTGGGGGGCGGTGCGCAAGGTACATATATACCTATTTACCTGCGTTTGAGACGTTACCAGGAAGAACGAAGAGGTGGCGACGTAGA